CGCTACCACGCCCGGCTCATTTTTTATTTATTGTAGAGATGAGGTCTCACCAAGTTGCCCTGGCGGGTCTCAAACCCACAGGCTCAGGCAATTCACTCACCTCGGCCTCCCAAAGTGCGGGATTACAGGCTGAGCCACCGAGCCCAGCCAGAGTTCCTATTGTTTTTGGGGGGGTTTTTTGAGTTGGAGTCTCACTCTATCGCCCAGGCTGGAGTGCAGTGGCACACTCACAGCCAACCCAGCATCAACCTACTGGGCTTCAGCGATCCTTTGGCCTCAGCCTTCCAAGTAACCAGAACAACAGGCACATGCTACCATGCCTGGCTAATTTTTTTTTTTTTTTTTTTGAGTTGGAGTCTCACTCTGTCGCCCAGACTGGAGTGCAGTGGCTGCTCCCAGCCACCGCAGCCTCGACCTGCTGGGCTCCGGCGATCCTCCCGCCTCAGCCTTCCAAGTAGCTGGAACTACAGTCACGTGCTACCACGCCCAGCTGATTTTTGATTTATTGTTAAGATGAGGTTTCACCAAGTTGCCCAGGTGGGTCCCGAACCCGCGGGCTCAGGTAATCCACTCACCTCAACCTCCCAAAGCGCTGGGATTACAGGCTGAGCCACCGAGCCCGGCTGCCTGGCTAATTTTTTATTCATTGTAGAGCCAAGTTGCCCAGGCTGTTCCTGAACTTGTGGGCTCAGGCAATCCTCTCACCTCGGCCTCCCAAAGTGCTGGGATTACAGGTTAAGCCACCAAGACCAGTCTTATTTTTTAAAATTCTATTTTTATTTTAATTTTGTAAAGATGACATTTCACTATGTTGCCCAGGTTGGACTCAAACTCCTGGACTTAAGCAATCCTCCTGCCTCGGCCTCTCAAAGTGCTGGGATTATAGGCATAAGTCACTGCGCCTGGCCAAAATCCTATTTTAATGATCCTATTTTTAAAAATCCACAATTCAAAAGATACACATTCATGTACAGTGAAAAAGCTCTCTCTCACTCTGCCCCCTCCCTGCAAGCAACCAATAGCACAGTCCCTTAATACATCTTTCCCAGGCAGTGGAACACATGACAAGCACCCGAAACAGTGCTTGGCATGATGCAGGCACCCTGTACATATTTGCTGAAGAGTTGAATGTATGAGCAGATAGTTCGAATTCTTGATCACAAAGTCCTTCTTAGATTTCCTCTCCATACTGTTCCACATCTCGTCATCATTGTTTTCACTTAATAGTACATCCTAACAATTCTTGTGACAAATTTCTTTTTTTTTTTTTTTTTTTGAGTTGGAGCCTC